GTACTTTGCATTTGCCTTTGCCCTTGGGCTTGGTAGCCTTGTACCTTGATGGAGCAATGTTGGACTTCCTAGGACTTTGCAAAAGGGTATGAGTAGGTACTTGGGGATTCACATTAGGGACTTGGATTTTCAATAAAGCCCTTAAAACCATTGTGCATATTGTGCACGTGGACTGAAACAGGACACAGAGCAACAACTGTTAGTCTAAAACCTCACAAGGATCGTGGACTCCAATTATGAAAACAGAACTTCATTTATTACAGCAACCCTGGGAGTCAAGACTGCATATGTTATGTATCTAAAGAAGGGATCTGATGATGCTATGTTTTTTCCCAATTTGTGAACATCATATTCTAAGACAGTGGTTCTCAACCTGTGGGTCGGGACCCCATTTGGGGTCGAACAACCATTTCACGGGGGTCACCAAACAACGCAATCCGCCATTTTTTTCCCCTTTTCCTTAGCTGTGCTACTCCCTTTTATTCTATTGGTTTTTGAAAGCCAATAGAATAGACTCTCTTGAATAGAGTCTTATTGGCTTTCAAAAGCCAATAGGAATTGTCCAGGCTGTCTGCCCTGCTGAGCCCGCCAAAAGTCCCATTCTGCAAACAATGCTGCACCAGTTGAGTAGTCCTCGACTTACGACCGGTTGGGGGTCGCAGCATTAAAAAGGTTGAGAACCACTGTTCTAAGAGCTCCTATCCATTTTAGATTAATAAGCCAGTTTTTAGGAAAATAAAACATAAAGTTGCTATAAAAATACAAGTAATAAGAAATGTTTCATTTCTTCTATTCTTTTTGTAGATAAACAGTGTTATTCTTTAGCTAAGCCAGTGGTTCTCAACCTTTTTAATGCTGCGACCCCCAACCAGTCGTAAGTCGAGGACTACTCAACTGGTGCAGCATTGTTTGCAGAATGGGACTTTTGGCGGGCTCAGCAGGGCAGACAGCCTGGACAATTCCTATTGGCTTTTGAAAGCCAATAAGACTCTATTCAAGAGAGTCTATTCTATTGGCTTTCAAAAGCCAATAGAATAAAAGGGAGTAGCACAGCTAAGGAAAAGGGGGAAAAAAAGGCGGACTGCGTTGTTTGGTGACCCCTGTGAAATGGTCGTTCGACCCCAAATGGGGTCCCGACCCACAGGTTGAGAACCACTGAGCTAAGCAATGTTATTCTTTTTTTAGATAAACATAGATTATTAGAAGCTTGGGATGGTAGAAGTTATCTTTTATAAATATAAGTTTAAATGTAAATACAACAGAATGGAATCACTAAGGATGCATTGTCTGTTGAACAGTTTCAATGCCATTGGTAAATAGGTTTATGAACCAGATTCTTTAGAACTCTCTAACAAGCCTGGACATAAGGTTTCATATATGATAAATATACAGACTCTATATAAAGCACATTTATCTGAGCTTGGAAATGGCCTGATCTTATTTTCAGGTCTGGCACCTTCCCTTGCTTTTCCAGATTTACACTGCATGAATGATTTGATTATATGATAAAATTCTATTGACAGAGATATTAATTATATTGGACAAAAATAAGTGCATATAAAAATCTCCTTTCCAGTCTCCACCTTCACTTCCATTTCGGAATTAGTACTTCCTCTGAACGCTTTCCACAATATGACTTATTAGCAGTCCCTTTTCAGTACAATTAACCTCTAACTCAATGACTAGAACCTAACTTTGCATTTGAAAATATGTAACACCCCAAAATTTAATGGGACAGATTTCTGAGTATTAGTTACAGAATTTGCTATGGCATTCATTAATCATTTAAACCCACCAATAAAATAAAACTGTTTTTTTGGAGAAGCCTATGCAACTTGGTTTTATCATTTACCACAGGTGATCACATAAAATTGTGAGTATTCTTTAGAACAGGAAGTCCTTGAGAACAAATGGTTCATGCACCTTCTGTTGGTCTAAACTTACTTTGATATCTATAAAAGGTGGTAGATGTGTATTCTGAAGTTTTCACGTATGTCACATATAGTCCATCAATATCAGAAATAATATGTATGTATGTATGCATGTATGTATGCATGTACAGTATGTTGGAGGGTCTCTTGGTCATGCATCTGTTTATTTTTCACAATCACCATTCTCTTTTCTGGCGCACATGGAAAATAGTTTCAGTCTAAATTAGTGCTAAAATCTAAAAGTCAAATGAAGATATTCTGATTTATTATTTTGAAAATGACAGAAGGTTTTGCAACCTTGCAGATCCTGGAAATGAAGGAAAAAGAGATGAGGAGAAACAAACCTTTCTTAACAAAGAATCTCTCAAGGCTTGGACCTTTGTGAGCACTTTGAAATGCTAACACAACATGAAGCTTGTTTTTTCATCCAAACTTTTGTAATAGAAATTCTAGTGTCCAGAAGGCACTTAAAATGTGTTCATTTAAAAAAAAGGGGAAACTAGCACAAAGCCATTGAATCTACATTCCTTTTTACTTATATAAAAAAATCATGCAAGATTAAGGAATGGTAATGAAAATGGTATCATTAACTTTACTCCTGTTTTGAGAAAAGTCAGATCAGTGCTGAGGGTTTGCAGGGTTGCATAGAAAATAATTTGAAATAATTAACGCTGCCTGACTTTACTTGTTCTATTTCCAGTCCTTAAACCCAAGGAGCCAGACTTTATAATCTGTTTGCTGAAGTGACTAAGTATAATGTTGGTATCATTTTAATTACCATAAACAAAATCATCAACTGCAAAGAATTTAGAAGAAATGTCTGGTTGTGACAATAGCATGTGTTAATGCCTTTTCATTTTACAGGGGTGGTCTCACACCAAAGGCACACACATAGTTTATTTATTTAGCTAGCTTACTAGCTAGACAGATAGACATATATCTATATAACCCAAGTGCAATCATCTCCTTTTCTGAATTTAACTATGATCAAAAACAAATTTTAGATTGAGAACTCCTAATTATTTTCAATCATTGTTTTCAGCAGTAAAACTGTTTCTGCTCAAATATGCTATGGTTCTGCCATTCCTTCTGGCACCAAAGGAGAGAAGACAAACTTTAGCCACCCAGGAAGCAAATAGATGTACCTTTAATTCTTAATATGCCTAAGACTCTTGATGTGTATACAGTAGGGTGCTCAGATTTAGGCTTTTTCTCCTGATCCCTATAAACCTTAAATCTTTTTTATCTACTTCATTCATTCTGATTTTTTTTTTGGGGGGGGGACAGATTAAGGCAGCGATTTGATACTTAGCAGGAGGTGTAAAAATGAGGGTTTCTGTTAAATAAATTTTCCAACAAAGGATAAAAGAAATTGTGACTTGCTAAGGGACCAATAAAGAACATCTACAACACTAAAGAAAAACAATATACTGCTATGTTTACTAACGACATAAATTGTTATACGTACAGAATTTGCTTGTTTTTTAGATCCTTAAAATACTACCAGGCAAAAAGAAGGTCCTTCAGACAAAGCAAATTGCAAGGCAAGAGTTTGATGTGTCATCAACTGTTCCATTCACCATATTTTATTAAAGGAAATCCAAACAGCTTTGCAGCTCTTAACTGCTTCTTCCACCGATTTTTCCTTTTCATAAAAAAATCTCATTGAGGAAAGTTGGAATAGTTCAGAGTCACACATCACACTAAACCATGAAGTGCTTGTGGACTGATCTGCACTGCCAAGTTGCCCCTTTGTGAGCCTGGGTCACCAACTATTTCTGGAGGGCAGGAGCAGATCATGTCCTCTTGGTCTTGCCACAGCCACTATAAACAAACATTCCACCTATGTTTTCCTGCTCCACATCAAATGTAGTGTTTTCTCATTCGTGCTGGGTCAAGATGTGCCACCCTCTTTGCTTATTAGGCTTTAATTCCTGTTAGTAAAGGAAGTAAATTGAACTGAAAAGTGAACTAAACACTCCACTCTACAGCAATTTTCCCAGAGTTAATAAATTTGTGATGACTAAAGGAACAGGTAGAATATGAAAAAAAAGTTTTTTAACCTGTCATATATAAAAGATACATCTTTAGAATGGAAGCTTATTGAAAATTGCTGAAAATTCTTACTTATTGTTGTTCAGAGGAGAGTGGACTCCAGATCTGTGTAATGTTAGCTAGAGCTGAAAATTATTTGGAACACCTTTGGATCATGAGCAAAGCAATTATCAACCTTGAGTTTGTCCATGGCTAACTACCCTCCAGAAACCAATAATGGAACTGATCTACCTGGCCTCCAAGGGCTAGGGCAGGACCAGTCTATGAACCACTGGGCAGCGGCACAGCAGCACTGAACTGCCCACAAATTTGCCAAATTTCAATCCCATGGGATTGAATTTTGGATGCATTCTGCAAATCAGCCCATTGAAGTACCTTGGTTCAAAAAAATGTTTTGCTCAGTTAAAGGTTGTAGACACAAGAGTTTTAGGAATAACATATAGATTAATTTAAATGTCAGCATATTTCTCCATATTGGGGAACAACATGACCAAGTGGCCAATGTTGCTACTTAATCTGCAGTCTAGGAGCAAACTATTGATGGACAGCTTTGGGGTTTCTACTGCCCTTATGTAAGTTTCTGAATCTTTATCCTTGAAATAGCTCCCCACCCCCACAAGATACATCTTAGTACTGTCTCGGGGATCCTTCAAAAAGGCAATTAGTCTTTGTATTATAGGCAAATGGATGTTCCCAGTTTATTGTAATGATGTTGCTAAAATAAATTTGTATCTTCTTAATTTTCTGCAGTAAGGCAGGAAATGTTACCTGTTATTAAATGCTCTGTTGGTCCACTGAGTCATCAGTTGCTATATTTTAACTTCCAAGATTTAAAATTCAGCTATCTGCTATTAGTACATTAAAGTTATTTTGGACTGTATTGTATAGTTAGTTCATGTTGTCTATTATAAAATGTTTTTATATCCACAATTATAGAGGTCATATTTCATAAATATTTTCTTCACATGCTTACTCATCAATGGATAACAAAAAATAAAGGCCACAGTCTTAACATTTGTGATAGGAAATTTGGCTTTATTCATTATAATTTTGATACGTATAACTATTGTAACAGTAGTAAGTATGTGATTCAGAAGCTGAAATCAAAAAGAAAAGAAAGCTAACACATGTCTAACTGAATAACAACACAATCTTATGCACACCATTCAGGAATAAAAGCCATTGAATTAAATGCAGCACACCTCCACTCGCAGTTGAAATAAGTAAATGAATACTGCATATGTCATCATTCATAACTCCTGGGACAAATTTCATAAGTCAGTCCAAAGCAATCTGCTTCAAATGTTTGTTTCAAACATAAAATGTACAGTTATGTTATCAAATGTTTAAAGCAGTAAAGATTTGAATAAATAATATATTTGAAATTAAAATATTTTACTTATGCATGCATTAATTATTCCACATAATTCACTAAGTAAAAGCTTTTGTGTAACAATGTGAAACTGCTAATTCCAGTAAATTATGCTTGAATAAATACACACATGCATATAAACACCATCCACAAATTAATTGTTCATTCATTTCTAAATTTATTACAATGAACAACTGTCCGTTTACCTGAGCTCTATCTATAGAGGTTCTTAGTACGGTAGCATATATAACTCATTTTCCAATCCTTTCAACAGTAATCCTATTGGCTGGGCTACACAAACACACACACGCACACACACACACACACACACACACTAAAGATGTGGTCAAATGAAATAACATTTCGCTGAATAAAAATGAGACAAGGTTATAAAAATATGAGGAATAAAAAATCTGAAATGCAGAAAATTTTTGAGGTGTGTTTTTTACCAGGCAAAGCTGAATATAGCAAATGTCAATCTAAAAGAAGAGAGATATAAATTAAACAAAGTGAATTTTATTAGAAATGCATTAAAAATGACTCTTAATCATCTTTACCTATGGCCGCTGTTACTGTGATAAGATCTGGAGTTTGGTACATTTGTAGCATCCACACTTTACAATAATTCCACCACATGTTGCATTTATAAAATTAAGCTTCTATTATGCACAATAAATGAAAATAGCTAGTTATCTGCAAGTTATGTACTTGGAATAAATTGTTCTTCATTGCATCCACAATTTCATTCACAAGCCTGAAAAATAAAAAAGGATGAAGCACTAATAAATATTAAAGGAATACATAATTAGAATAAATAATAAATAGAATAAATAATTAGAATACATATTCTTCATATGAGTATTTAATTTTGTTTCTTAATATAAGCATATGGATATGGATAGTGAAACAAGAGTATGAAGTTTAAATAAGATTACACACACCACTATGAAATTAATATGATGTTGCAGAAAAATATTTAGAACATATCAGTAACTCTGCCTTTTCCTGTCTTCTTTACTTGATTTTTACTGCACCTCTATTTTTTACAATTGCTTCTACATAATGCTTCTTCCACCTATTTTTCCCACAACAATAATCCTGTGACTTGGTTTGGGCTGACAGAATGTGACTGGCTCAAATTATCAAAGCAGTAATCTTTGGTATGTGATGCAGCAAGAATCTTATGAAATGGAGCATCATTAATACTTTAAAATATAAAGATCCAAATTCAAGATACTGTACATATATGTACACATGAGTGGTCACAGCATCTTTGGGAGGTAATGAAAAGAAGGAAAAAGAAAAGATTCAGGGTGCAATATTCAGCTTAACATCAGGTTTGCCTAATGCAGTTCATTAACTCTTTAGAAAAAACCTAAAGCAAAAGAGAAGGAATGATCCAGCTTTAGTGAAAATTTATGCTAGTTGGCTTTGCATTCATTTCTCACTCTATCATTTTTATTATGTCTAAGGAAAGGAATAAAAAATAAATGATAGAATAAATTAGGTTTTAGATTTATCTTTACACATTCCAGCTTTACTGAGTTTAAAAAGGACGGTCACAAATAAAGTAAAAAATTCACAGAATATAGGAAATGGAAATCTCTCTTGAAAGTTTACAATGCATTGGGAATGTTTATTTGAACGTAAGTAAGCTCTTTCAAACCAAGTGACAAGTTAAACATTTATATTTCCAGTATGGTTTATCTTGGCATTTCCTATGGAGGATATTGGTGTTGAAATCAAGATGAATTAGGAATCCTTCTAACAGAACTTTAAAATGGAAAAATCTTCCTTGCATTCAGAGTTTCACTACACATTCAGATAAAATGTCTTGAAATGCTTATAGTTTCATTCAGAATGGAGATCTATTATCTATCTATCTATCTATCTATCTATCTATCTATCTATCTATCTATCATATGGCATATCATACATGGACTAGCATACACATGGTTATTAACATTTTATCTAGATTAGTAAAACACAACAAAATATAAATTTTAAAAAGATCTATATTCAAATGTCTCTAGACTATCTAACCACTCAAGCACAGAATGGAAGCATAACTGATACTTTATAATTACCAGCACTGGAGGCTTGGATTGTGGTCAGTGTTATCATGCTAGTAAAATAATTTTATCAGAAATAGTTCTGATAAGAAATATGTTATATTAGGGAAGTCTGCCATTGTGACTTGTCCTATTAATAGTTGATTTTTCAGTTAAAACTGAACTAGGATTGTTCACATTCTTCAAAATTAAATCAAAATAGAAGATGTGGAAACTATGGTTGTTGGTTGAAAATGACTTTATGGCACTTAGTCAATCACTCAATGAAAACATATTTGAAGCAACGGCTTGATGCTCTTCTGCTAATGCCACATCTTCATTTGCCCTTCCTTTTTCTTGCACTGAAGTCAGTGTAACCGTCTGATGCAGCCCACTCATTTAGGCATAAGAAGTTATAGGAAAAAGTACCATTTATGTGCATCTTTCCATTTACCCGGTTCAATCCTGTTAATTGAAACTTAAACAATTTTCAGGGCATCAAAATGAAATTTTATTTTAGAATTGCATTCAAAAAGAAAAAAGAAAGAAAAATGATAATTCAGATTTTGCTAGCCTGGCATATACTGCATAGGACTGTTTGTGGATTGCCTTCCAGCAGCAATTTTAGGATTGGCTAAGAGAAACTACAGCATTAGGAATCAATGTGACTCTGAATCACAAATCCAGGGTTTTTAAGAAAAGAAGGCCGTTGTTTGATACCTGGAAGCTTGTATCTTTCAGAAAGAATTATGATGTCTGCACACTTTACCCAATTCAGTTGAAAAATGCATACAGTCATTTGCAGATTTTCATTGCAATGGAAGACGTACAGTTTATGATTTTGATTCAGTCCTGAATCAAACTGGATTAGCCTTCAGATGAGTTGGATATTTTGTGGTTGGCCTTGGTCCTAAGACAACACTACATATATTTTGTGCTTGTGATTCTGCTTCCTTTGTTCTAATATATTTATTCAGTCATTAAATTCATACCTACAGCAATCAGCTGGATTCTGCTGATTTACAGTGTAATTAACAGTATAAACAAACCAATGTGATTTTTTGTCACAATACTTTTTGTTTTATTCAGAATGTTAAAATACAAGTTTCCAAAAAAGAAAACAACCAGAAACTTTACAAGAACACAAAATTAGATATTAGAAAATATTAAAAATGTGCATTAGAAAAACAAAAATGCATATACATATACATACGTTGTCCCTCTAGTTCAGTGGTTCTCAACCTGTGGGTCGGGACCCCATTTGGGGTCGAACAACCATTTCCCGGGGGTCACCAAACAAGGCTGTCCGCCATTTTTTCCCCTTTTCTTTGGCCACGCCCCTGGCACCCGGTGATGTATAAGTGGTTGGGGGGTCACCACAACATGGGGAACAGTATTATGGGGTCACGGCATTAGAAAGGTTGAGAACCACTGCTCTAGTTGAATACTGATTTAGAAATCAGTCCTAAATCAAACTGGATAGCTTCCACATGAGTTGGTTAGTATCAGTCCTAATAAAACAACATGTATATTTTGTGCTTTTGATTCTGCTTCCATTTATTTATTCATTTACTTATTTATCCATCCATCCATTCAATTCATACCTACAGCAATCAGCTCAATTCTGCTGATTTACAGTGTAATTAATAGCATAAACAAACCAATGTGATTTCCTAGGGAGAGGACATTCTGCCTTAAGGGAAAGGCATAAACTACAACTTTCAGTGCCATTCAGTGTCCATTCAGAAATGGAAAATTCTTCAGCAGGGTCTATGGGGATGGTAAGGAGAATCCGTGTGATAAACTTAGTGTTGCAACATTGGAATGCGTGCACTGCTTCTTTTCTTCACACTTTGCAACATTGCAAAAGGGGCATAGTTTATGGAGCAACATTGGACTCATTATCCTTCATTCAGAAATTATTCTACTGGTAATTTTTTCACAGAATTTTAAATGAAGACCTTAATTTCTCAATTAAAAAGAATTTAATATTAACCAATTAAATTTTTCTAATAATATAAATTATTTAATGTGGGCAGGAAAATAATTTAAACAGAATCTAGAGTTTTGTGGCTACTATAGCATCTTTTTAATTAAAAAAAAACTATTTTACTTGCTATAATCTTTTCTATGTCCAAAATAGCTTTATACTTGTGTTGTAATATCCTAAAATTGAAGAATGCAGTATTAGCTGAATTCAATTGATTAAAAATTGAGTTTAAAATACCTGTTATTGAGAAGATTAATTCTACTGCTCTTCTGTTCTCAACTATAAATTATGAACTTTAATTCCTATCAACACTAAATCACATATATAATGCTCATGCAGATTTGTGTCTTATTTATTAACTTTCCTTAGCATTTTTGTATATGGGTAAGATCTTCAATTGCAGTGTTTACAAGGAATTTGCAACAGAAATTCTGACAGGAGTTTCCCTAGCTCTCTGTATTACAAACATTTCAACACCCAGATGTTGGCAGTCTGCATTTTCCAAGACTTGTCCTTCACTTGTAAGTTTGGCCACAGTGACTACATTCCAAAAGCAGATGGCTGCTATTAGCCATATAATTATTTTTAAAAGGCTTATTCTTTTACCCAATTTACCATGCTCAGGTATCACCCAAAGTACAATATTGCTCAGATCAAACAATCTTTGTTCTCTTTCAATGAACCACCTATTTGAGTGACCTTCAATTAAATAAATAAAAAGTCTACTGTGAAAATTGATATATGGACTAAAATTAAGATTCAAACTACTGCAGCCTTAAAGGTTTCGTAAGAAAGTAGCTGTTATTTCAGTTAAGGAGGTTTTACCACTCTCTGCCTTCAAGCTAGAATAAACAGATTGTTTTGTTCATGACAGCAAGAAACAGATTTTGTATTTATAATCCAGTGGGCTGGTCTGAAATAGCAATGGGAACAAATTTAGGCATTTCTAAAATACAAATATTTACTGTAAAACTCTACTTTCTTTACTAGATATTCTTATTTTTATTGCCTAAATTTTATCCAAATGTTTCTGATAAAACAATTAAGAAATTGTCTACTGTTCAAATACTTTTTCTTATGTTCTTCCTATTTGGAAAGTTGTTAAAATCAACAAAGATACATTTACTTTGAGCGGTACCCAAAGTGTGGTAACAATAAACTATGATCTAATTTCTGATGTCACACTAAGCTACTGAAAATGTGATACAACTAAAAAAGAATTGTAGCTTTGATCTCTCTGACATGGACACCATTTTAACTTTTTAACTATATCTTTTGGACAGTCTTATTAATGTTTAGTTTTATCTGCTTACCCCAAAGCTGTTTATATTATAATGCTTCAAATAGACAGGATGTTAAAACATGTAAATGGTTATTTATTTGATATCTGTATAATTTTCCAATGTGGTTAAAATATTTTCCCATTCCATATATATTTCCAAAATCACCCACAGGTTCATGTAATTATACTGTCTTAGCAGAGCAAGGAAGGAATTTGCTATTCTAGAATTAAAAAGAAAAATGAAAAAAGCCACTTTGCAGTTTTGCCCACAGTTCTGCTATTCTCGGGAGAAATCTGAAACTAGTACTGTACAATTCAGGCCCAAGCCCTGCTTAGTTTTTCTAGTTTCTGCTACCACCAGACTATGTTAAATTCTAACCAGCATTAGTTTTTTCCCCACAAAACTGACAGGGTTTTTTATTCAACAGGTCATGTTGAGATGGTTCCAATTCTATTGACAAGGTGCTAATGAGTAACTGTTAAGCAACATGTTGCTTCATAGCCATAAAATCTAAAATAGCTTAGAAAATCACACATTTTTCTTCCTTTCATATCACAAACTATTGTGATTTTTTTAAACAAATACTATTGTCAGAATAATTTCTATTCCCACCTACCTTATTTAGGTTAACTATTATCACCATATATAATTTATTGTTACCTCTTTACAATGAGATCAATTAGCACATGCTGTATGTCTAAACTGTATTATATAAATGTATGTTCTTTAGGCTATGTTTTTCAGCAGCAGAACCATACACCCAAGTTTATGAATTAGGTCTCTGCACTAACAAATACTGTTCAGACAAATAAAAAATATTACTGTTTTGTTACAGGAGGTAGTAAATTATTTGTCAGTTAGAATTAAATCTGCTAATACTAAACTGAACTCATATATTTTTCAAATATTGTTTAAATCATCTATTATGTTTTATCAAATGTGTTCATCAAAAGCTTTTGTCATTATGTAGTTTTTATCCCTGTTTTGTAAATATGTGAAACTTTTGTTAAAAAGAGGTAAATCTGAGTTTGTGGCACAGAGAACAAATGATTCAGTTTAAATGTTTTTAGGTCATTCTCAACCTTACAGGCTGACATCCCAAACAGAAAACTAGACATTTATTCCCATAAATAAATAACAAATACAAAAATTCTATTACAAGTTAGAAGCCAACAAGGGTACACAACTAAAATTATTTCTTTAAAATGAAGTCTCTATCTCCAGCAATGAATTTGATACTAATCACTCACATTTATCTTGATTTGCTTCTGCTTCTTCACTTTCAGTATCAGCTGGCAAAATCCATGGCTGGTGAGCAAGCTGAAGTTGTTGTAGGAAGTCATCCTGCCACAAAAATAATTCAGTCAGGACAGAAATTAGGTTTGCAATTAATTGAATTGATTCTTTAATTAAAAACAATTACAGGTACTTCTGATTAATCTGATAATCTTCTTCTATTTCAAGGATTTTTCAGGAAGAGACAAGGAAAATTTGGTGGATGTATAAAACATATATTAATCAGTAGAATTGTCTAAGAATTAATTAAGAATTGTCTAAAAACTATTTCTAGTCTCACAAAAGAGATGCTGAACTGACTGCATATAAGAATCTACCTAACCTACAAGATTATTTATGGAACACAGCAATGGAAATCCAACTGAAATGCTTCAGGAAGACCCTGTGCAAGTAATTACGCTATTTTTTTTAAAGTGCCTTTTTAAAAAAAAGTATCTATTACTTTATTTTTTAACTTCTACCCCATCTTTCTGGTTATATAAGTCTCAAAACAGCATGCAACAAGGAGCAAATGATAAAACTTGCAGTAAAATCAGTAATTCAGCCACTCCTTCCTGCTTCTGGAATGCTTAACTTAATATCTTTACCCCAAATTACACCAAGAGTGAAAGCAACTTTTAACTGAGTGTATGGGTAAAAGGAAGAATATGGTGCTTTTTGTTCTTTCTGAATGAATATGCTCAAAATCACATTAGTGTGGAAGCCAAGTGCTGGTCCAAGCCTCAGATCTTGAAAGATCCAACTTCAGAACAAAATAGGAGTGTGTTATTGTCACCATCAAAGCAAAATCTTCTATCATCACCTCAGAGAAAGTAGAGAGCTACAATTCTGTAAGGAGACTTAGCAAAGACCTCACGGAAATTCTTGAACGAACTTTCAAATATCTAGGACTTTTTGGATTTAACCATATTATTATTTATTTTATATCCACCTTTCAACTCAGGCATACATTGGAGGTATGCTGCTAAAATTTCAAACCAAAGACAAAATACTATAAAATATGCTATACAATACCAACATCACCCAACAATTAAAAGCCTGGCAAAAGAGATGGATCACTACAAATTTCCTAAACATTGAGTGGATGTGGGACATGCATTCTATATATTGGAAGCAATGCAGGATATGTAAATTTATGGAAATTTAATTAATCCAGTAAAACTCATATGGTTAACCTTCTACTCTTTCTTTAATCTTTACGACATCCCTAACAAAGCTGACACATTGACAGGTCAACTCTGTAGAAAAGTAGCAAACAAATGAATGTTGATATACATTGAACAGCTGTAAGTTATAATAGAATCCAGATTTCTTTCAGGCCAATAGCCCACATTTTAAAACTACTCATTGAACAGGGAGGACATTATTTCACATTGTGGGGCCCTGTTGCAAATGTAATTCAGAATTCATAAGAGGATGACCTCCTAGACACTGGTTCTATATTGTTTGGAGTGCTGTAACTATACAGTGAGTTATTTTTATTAAACAGATTTTTATGAAAATAAAAATGAGTATTTTAGATTTATAAAGCACTTCTTTGGGTAACCAACAAGGCAAAGACTTTGCAGAGAATGTGCAGCAATTTCAGGGAAATATTAAATAATATCATTTAATAATATTACATCTAGACTAAGTTCTACACACATTATAAGCTACTCATTTTCATTTTCATAGCATTTTATATGTGTTTTTCTCACCCCTAGTTTTTTTCATTTGATCATTTCATACTATTTTATACTTACCAACATAAACATACATTGTGATATTCTATACATAATTCCTTTCACTCAGTTCCAAGTAGCTTCTATATTCTCTTTCTTTATATCTACTCACCATTCACCTAGTTGGGAGTAAATCTATTCTCTTAATACTTCTGCATACAAGTAGTTGTTATTTTGCTATCATTCTCTTTTCATGGTAGTTTCTTACCCTTCTTTCCTTTTCTCCCTGTTTATTTTTCCTCAAAAACCACTCTTGACATTACTGAGAAATGTCTTTCATTCAGAAACTCTCATCATCCATCCATCCTTCACTAATACACTCAATTTTTCATCTTAAAAAAATCCAATCAATCATACTTTCAGATTCCTATTGATTCTTTTGAATTTATGAACTGAATTGTGTGTAAACTTGGACTATGAAAAAGCTAGACAGAAAAAAAATTAAATTGTTTGAGCTGTGGTGCTGGAGAAGGCTCCTGCACATTTTTTTGATAGCAAAGGTGACAAACAAACAAATTATGAGATCAAACTCACTGAAAAAGGCAGTTATCCTTGGAATGGTCAGCAGTAAAAGGAAACAAGGCCACTAAGAAACATGATGGCTGCAGGCTAGCAAAACTGACACCAGCCAGAGCATAAAACAACTGAAAGAACTCATACAATATTGGAAAACATGGACAGAGCTGGACCATAGATTTGGATACAACTGAATGGATATCATCATACTTAAGCCAATAAGGTTTTTTTTCTAAGCAGATGTCCATCAAGCTGTTGCCATTATCATTCTTAATCATTCTAGTTGAATCTCTGAATGACCAATTGCTCTCTCAATTCCTTCCCTTCCAAAGCCCAATTTTACTCCAAAGGTTCTCGCATCAGTCTACGCAAGCCTTGATTTGCAGTCCAGAGAGTAACTTGAAAGCCACTGTACAATTTTATGCAACCTCCCAACTGAAAGGTATTCGCAATGTCCTGAGACATTCATGATGCTTCTTTCTACAAGATTGCTTCAATTTTCCCTATGCCCTTGAAGAAAAAAAGGGATATTAAAACAAATAAATCAACAAAAAAACCTTAGAATCTCTTTCAATGTTAGTAGTAAAACATAGCAAACTAGAAAATGGAAGCATGTTATCTGGATGTTTTCTTTTCTTGCCAACCCAACACACATAAGTTCTGAACTCACAATCACAACTGGAGCCAGAGTTTCCATTATTAAATAAGGTGGTTGTTAAGAGAGTCATGCCTGATTTCATGAACTTTTTTGCCAAAGTTGTTAAGTGAATCTGCTGATTTGAAGTGAATCACATGGTCATTAAGCAAATCCTAATTTACCCCATTGACTTTGTTCATTGGAAGATGGCCGGTAAGGTGAAAAATAGTGATTATTTGATGATGGAACACTGCAACTGCTCTAGGTAATGGCAGTTGCCAAGCACTCTAATTTTGATCATGTGGGATATCACAATGATTATGTCTAAGCATAAGCAACTATTTGAAGTTACAATGGCACTGGAAAAAGTGACAGTAGTAAGTTATTTTTTCCAGTGCCCTTGTAACTTCAAATAGTTGCTAAATGAATGGTTTTAAATTGAGGACTACCAGTATACAGGTGCACAGACTCCAAAGAATAATGGTCTGAAGAGATGAAGCATGAAGAATCTACACTTCATAAAAGAAAGGAAGAAACAGTAATGCTATGATGTGTAGATGTATCTGTCTCACTTGCAATTAGTGAAATATTTGAAGACTAAAGACTAAATGTATATATCTGCATGTAGAAAAGAATTTAAAGCATTTGTTTACACAGAATGTAGCAATAACAAAAACATTTATCCATGTTATACTGCTTGGTATGAATTTGAACTAAGCTAGTAATGTAACACACCTGCAAGTTTGCTATACATTTTCCATGCCAACAGAGCTGAAGGTATATGTACAAGCACTCAGATCATCAGGCAACTTATAATTCTTTTAGACAGGATAGCAAAACTAAAACCTTGGACTTTTTACAAAAAGAACTTCACAGCTGACATGCAAGTCTTTGCCAAATTCTTCATGTATCCCTGCTTTAAAAATGTTTATAATGTGGTTTCTTCCATAAAGAAAATAAAAGTTTTAAAGCATTTCATCTATTAGAAATAGGGCATGGAAAACTGTGCACTAGAGGCCTCTAATTTGGGAAGGCAAGGAAACTAAATGATAAAAACTGTTCTGAATTGTATTGTTCAAGCACTATGTACTTTTTATATCACAACTTAGCATGCATGGTAAAATACAAAATTGGAGGCTAAATTGCTAACTAAAGCACAAAAGAATTAAAGGCTGATTAGGATATCTTTCCTCCATGAGATCTAACCTGTTCCATGATTCAACTACAATCCTTAGTTTAGCATTAAGTCAACAGATGAATAGGAGGGACTAAGAGGCAGTTCTTGGTTGTTGGTGGACATAGCCCCTAGATTGCCAAAAACCTTCTCACTTGTAAATCACTGTGTCACAAGGGTTTATGATGACAAAGAAAGGATCAGGTATTCTGACTTCTTTTGAAGACCAAAGGCCAATATTTTTAAAAAAATATTTTTTAAAAACAAAGCAGTCAGCCAATATGTTTCATTTTCAAGCCAAACATGGAAAAGGAAAATAAATGTATACACGAATACGCATGCATAAATGGCATGCTATGTGCAATGTATGTATGTAAAGAATTTTGGGAGCAATTAAAGTGTTACCAGCAAGTAGCATTAAATAACAGATATAAATAATGAATTCATTCTAATCCAACTAATATTTTAATTAATCTTAAAGTTTGATAAGTGCATTAGAGAATAATTATAAGGCTAATACAGAAATAAAAGTGAAGCTGTGTTATAATATTGTAATTCTTTTCAAAAAAACTTACTTCAGACATACTGCTTCTTTGAGTAATATTTCCTAGAGTAACTCCAGTTGTTTCAAGATGCCCTGCAGGACTGGTGATGGTCCTTCCGAGTTGATTCTTTGATATTAAAGACTGGCTTCTTTGCATACTAATGGTTCCTTCGTTTCCTTGGTTGTTAGGGGAAACAGGTCTTTGTAACAAAGTATTTGGGGTGGCAGATCTGTTTAGTGGAGTTGGCAGCCCAGAAGATCTGCTGGTCTGTGTATTGGAAGACTGAGGTCTACTGTTTGTAACACTGGAGACTAGCAGGCTATTGTTGCTGGATAATGGTGGTGATTTGTTTCTTTGAAGCTGGAGCTGAATAGCTTTCCCACTCTGAACTGGTCCTGAATCCTGGCTAACAGTTATTTTAAAATTTCCTTGGTGATCTAGTGGAATTACATGACTTGATTGTCCAGTGGTATTTCTTGATAATCTTCCTTCTTCCCACAGCGCTAGGTCTTTTGCAATGTCTGCGTATTGCAAAATTTTGGCATTATAATGGAAGAAGAAAAATAAGAAAAACTTTATAATTAATATAATATAATGAGCTTCATTCTAACCCAAGCAAACTGTTAATAGGCTATACTACTAAGTTATTTTTAACTGGGAAAATTTGAGTGCCTTTTGAAGCATCACTCTTATGAAGAGTGGACTTCTTCTGGGAGCATCTATGGACTTCTGGGAGCATCTATGATGAGATTTCCACTAAAATGAACTGAATGTTTTGGTGTTTTGGAAATCCACAGAAAATCACATTTGGAAAAGGGAAAAAAGTATCTGCTTTGTTTTCAATACATGAAATATGTTAAGAGTATGAGAGAAAAAGTTTTCCATTCTTAGCCCTGCTGGATCTTGCCTGTTTCCTGCACTTTCCTAACCATGAATATTTGGAGGTCTTTGATACATTTAATGTGAGAGAAGAGACTTACATATCTTTTTGATTTCTCATTCTCTCTAATCAGTCAGCCCATGCCAATAAATTATTTTCCTTTTTGAAGAGGTGCCAGGAAGAGGTATATTATAGATTCAAAGTGAGTCCATGACCTTCATTATATATACAAGATCAGCCATTTTTGGAATGCCTGATCTTTCTTCATTATTTCCCCAAAGTACATCTATTATTATTCACAGCATTTTTCTCAGACTTTCTTTCCAGAAGTAAAAATAGCCTTCATTACAAACTCATAAACTATTTAAAGGTTGAAAAAATATATATTTATGAACAGTTAATATAATTATTTCCCCCTCCTCAGTTTTGGATCTATATGTTTAGATTAGATTAAAATAAGCCAGAAGTTCATATGAACTTTGAATTTCATCAACTTTTTATTGAACTCACAAAAGAGTTCGATTTTTTCATCAATTTTTTACTGAACTCCCAAAAGATGACATTTATAGATTTTAATTCCAAAATGAGAGAAATGACTATATCAAAATTTCAAAACACTATCCTTGTTATGTTTTTGGTTATTTTTAGCCTGTACCCAGTAAATAACATTTCTCTTATCTTTACAAGTTTTCCCAGAAATTGCATACTAAATAACAGGAAGGTTAAACATATTTTGAAATATGCAGGGCCAAATATGTCTGTTATCATCAACTAAATAAAGATATATGTGCACATACATAGCCATACATAAACACATTATCACTCTCCTTTTATAATCAAAATGAGTTGCAGCACCAAAAACTCTGCATTTATTTCTCTGTATGATTCCATTCCCTGCTGTATGTTTACCCAGTCTGGTTCTTAACAAAAACCTGTCCTAGTTCATAGTTCTACTCAGTGGTGGGATTCAGCCAGTTAGCACCACTTCAGCAGAACCGGTAGCTAATTTTTTGTTGCCCAGGCCCAGAATGGACTTCTGGAAGCGGCATCCACACAGAAAACCAGTTGTTCACATATTTGAATCCCACCACTGCTTCTACTCAAAATCATTTGTGAAATAGAAAATTGTTAATAAGCAGACTTTTCATATTTTAATGGCTATCTGATAATCTGGCAAATAATAAGATTGTAATGCCATAAAGACTGCCTCAAATAATATGAATTGATGTATCCTGATAATCAGTTTGCATATGTAGACTACTAAGAAAACTTCTGGAATAAACATGCACACAAAGAATAAAATATAAATTATTTTTATAGACATTAACTCTTATTCTGCTCTCAAACTGGTATAACCTTATTAAATGGGTCTTTCATTTTCAATTACTGTATATTTTCAGATATTTGCCCCAGGTAGTTGATTATTCAAAGCTTGCCAGCCTTGAATGCATCCTACCAAACTACAAGCTGCAGATAAAGGATCTTGTAAGAACAGATGGTTCCTGGAATCACAGGTTGGGATATTATTACCTGGTCAATATTCAGACTTTCTTTACTTGCTATGTCAAATCTATTTATGCTCTTTTCCTTCCTTTAATCACAAGCAGATTTATGAAGCAATTGTTGCCATATCATTGATATGCAATTTGATATTTCAGCTCCAACCCTCTCCCTTATACTTTATTTAATGTTTCACTTTATATTACATCTTTTTATCTTTATGACATCCAAAGTAATTCTAGGAGTATTGAATCCTCAGATTTAATTTCACACTTAATGTAGGTATAATGAAGGTTATTGCCAGTTATTGGTTTTTAACATAATCACCTTAATATTTGGTAAACAGCATGTTGTCTGGATTAGTATTTAAAAACAATCAATAACAATTAATTTCTATAATTCTATAGTCCATATAATGGCTTTGCTTGATTTTCTCTTCTTCCAATAATATTCTCTTTTGCCAATCTTAAATTAATACAGTTCTTATTATTTGAATAAATGATAATTAAATATAGACATATTTCTCATGTTTCTGCAAATAATAACCACATCAATATAAAGCTTCTTTTCTAATTGCCTCATCATAGATCCTGTTTACAGAATTCTTATTTAAATTTGTTTTCCCCACAATATTCAAAGCATTCATACTGGTTAAGATTTTCTCGAAATTAATTACACTTAAGTATTTAAGTCTTTTTTCTCATACAAGCCATCTCAACACTTTTACATTTCTCATATCTTAAAAAAAAACAGAAAAAATATTTATTTTATATAAACCATCCTAATTTTTATATTTTTCATGACAAAAAACAAAACACAAAGGAAAAAATATTGTTACTTGAGGGGTTCATCCATCTTAAACTAATCTTCATTTATATTCAAAATCTTTCTATTTCTTTAACCATATTCAAACAGATGTTTAATTTTGAAATATTCCCTCTGGTAAATCCCACCATCTAATTTCTTAATTCTCACTTCAGCCTTTTTTTTTTTTTTTTTGCCAAACATCTTTCCTGATCAATATGCTTTGCTGAATCAAAGAATCCTTCCATAATCTTAAAAGTGTTGTTGCAGGTACAAAAGGCAAAACAGATAAGATGTTTTTATAGGAAGGTTTCGCCCCTTCGTATTCATTGAGAATATTTTCCTTTCTTTCTTGATTTTATTTATCATTTTTTTGTCTCTCAAGTTCTCGTAGTTCTCCTGACAGAATCCATTTTGTCAAATCTTTTTTCTTGTCCTCAAACTTATTTTGTAATCTTAGGCTATAGGTTACATTTTGCTGCTTTCCAGCCTAATGTCTTAACCACTGGTTCTCTTTGGTTAATGCCTATTATTTTAAAACAAGATGTTTGAAATTACATTTGAATAGCACTATTAATGAACGTAATAAGATCCCAAAGGGGTGTCTGATCAAATCAACATTTGGTTATATAAATAATAAGGTCTTGTTAACAAAATTACTGTACATTAGGGCTGTATACACTTCAAAATTATTTAGAAGTGTTTAGCATCTCAAGGTAACATGATTTTTAAAGTAGTTGTGCCTTTTTTTCTTCCACATTGAAACATAAAACAACATGCTTTGTTGAACAGAAAGAGTCTGTGATTATGTGAGGTCCAAAACAATTAGTCTGAATCATTCTTGAATGATGCATAGTCCCATTATATTCTGTTATAGAAGAAGACACCATTAAAATGTCTTTCATTCAATAAAAATATGTAGTACATATTACAGTATGTCTTAATCTTGAAATGATCTGAAGACTTCATTCAAGTTATTTTCAAATGAGTTATTTTTATATTAGCAGTTTGAATAATTTCCCTTGAATTTTAATTTAACCCCCTTTTAAACATACATCACTTGAAATTTGTAAAATACCTGTTAAAATTTTGGTTTAAGAAAGATAACATGGATGTTATAAGTTAAACCAAATGTGCAACAAATCCTCTTTCAATTAAATTAACCTGTGTTTTTGCAAATGGCTTGGTTCATGACTTATCTGCAATGAAGGAGAGATGGTATGTTGGAAAAATGCAGTATTTATGTTTCAGTTAGTTTCAATAACCATTATAATTATGGCACAGCTTCAGTTATCTGCAAAACCTGATTGGTTCTGCTGATAAGTAAAATATTTAAATCATTTCTCCACAGTCAATTTAACAATTTTAGTACAAAACATTTATTTAGCATTGAATGTATTCTGATTTTGAACATCAACTTTCACAATGAAAAAGGAAGTGTTTCCAAAAGAACAGTGTCATGAAATACTTATCAAAACATGTATTTGGCCCATTCATTGCTTTTAAAAAGCTCATGTCAATGACACTGAATGGGAGGAAGTACTGTACATGTAAAAGAATATTATATAGCAACCTTTTTAACAATGAAGAGGCTGTGTGGATAACAAGAGATCCCAACTAATTGCTGCATACTTGAAAAGGAAATCTAGCAAACCTTTTATTTGCTAAAAACCAAACACATTTTTGCATTCTTGGAATATTGGAAATAACAAAGAATGCCATTTCTCATGTTTTCCAATGTTCAAGGTAATATTTAAATATCAGAGCCTGAATGTCTCTATGGGCTGGAGAAAGAGCAAGTAGTAATAAGAAGTCAGAAAAGTAAAGTGAGAAAATCAATAATTAATGGAAGCACCTTAAAACTTCTCATGTTTTAAAAATAATTGTCATTGTCTGCCTTCTAAGAACCGCCTAATAAAATATATAGATTTTAATCAGAGAAAATCACTGAAATTGTTTTTCCTAAATTGATGCAAATGTACTGAAGATACTGTAAGAACAAAATCAGATTAAGAGGTTTATCTGCTTATTTTAACTAATAACAGTTTCAAAGAAAGTACCCTGATACTAATGAAATGTATGAAATTGCCAGCAGAATTACATCTGCTTTCTATCTCCAATAATGATACTAAAAAACTTACAGTCTGATGGTAATAATCAGCCTTAAGCACCTGGCAAATATAAGGTATAATGACTTTTGGTTAGAGATGTTAGTATTAGGTATTACCTATTACCATATTTCCTAGTTTTTCTCTTTTTTCAAGAAGTATTCATCCAGTAGTTTTATTTTTATGCCTTTTAAATTATGTTAACAAAGGATAAGCAATTGGAATAATTTGTTTTCTAAAAATGGGAACAACAAGAGCTTAATAAGGAAACATTATGTGACGCTTAAAATAGGAGACTGTCCTACTTCCATGACAATTAGTGCTCCATTCCTTTATGTGCTTACTACATCTGTCATCTTTTCTCATGACAATTTCGGTCATGTAAATATAGCAAAATTAAGAATTTACAGATTATTCTTCATAATCTGGATAAAAGTCAAATGATTTGAGAAAAAATATCTCCTTCAAAAGATGGATTTTCTGAAGTTATTTGAGAAAATATATGCAATATTGCCTAACACTATTAATAAAAAATCGCTGGCATATTATTATGTGAGGTAGTTATCTCCTTTGATTGCTATATAAAACCTATTGTCATTTCCTGCCTATAAATCAACAGCGTAGCACAGTCATTCAGGTAACCTTTTCTTATAACATTCAGCCAAAGCATTTTTTGCATGGTTTCTAAATGAAAAGTCTTAAAGTCTTGTGCATAATGTTTACCAGATAGGTGTTTTTCCATAGTTTGTAGTTCTTTTGCAGCCAGTGAATCTTCTAATAGTTTCTGACTTGAAGAGTCTCTACTTCTTGAACCCATAATGTCTAGAGCCCAGGCTGGCTGATTCTAGAATAAATAAAGACAAGGAAGAACACAATTTACAATTTTGTGAACTGTGGATTCATCTAAAATATATCAACTCAAATGACCCATTCTTTTAACCACATAATTAAGATAGTATCAGTAGTATCAGGTAACTATCTTTAACGTTTTCATAAGTTAAGGACAATGTATTAAGGTGACGTTTTGACCAAATCCAGATATGATTTATTTTGCATGAACCCATTTATTTTACTGAACGGCATTCAGTTTAGGTCAACATCAAATTGATCTCAATATGAATATAATCTACTCTTTTAGAGACAAAGAGCATCTCCAATATCACTATATAATTGCAACAACTTAGGACAACAGCAGTAGCGCTTGGACCTATATACTACTTCATAGTGCTTTATAGCACTCTCTAAGCAGTTTACAGAGTTAGCATATTGGCCCTAACAACTAGAGTCCTCATTTTACCAACCTCAGAAGGATGGAGGGCTGAATCAACCTTGAGCCAGTCAGGATCAAACTCCTGGCAGTCAGCGGAATTAGTCTGCAATACTGCATTCTAACTATTGCACCACTGCAGCCCCTACAACATTATTATACTTTAGAAACATTATTGTCAAGAAAAACTTTCAGCTATTTGGTTACTGAACGATGTGATATACTAAAAAATACTAAGTACTACAAAACATCAACTGATTTTAGAAATTATCTTTAAAATAAGAAACAGAAGTAAATTTGGTGGTGGTTTTTTTGCAGACAACAAAATTATAAGCAGGTAATTCATGAAAACAAAGAAGTAGGTTTTAAAAATATTAATTGACTGATACGATACTTAAATGCAGCCAGTGTTACTTTTCTGTATTAAGGCAGAACTTCAAGGTTTAGATATCAGTAGATTATATAGTTATGGCTATAATTCCTTATCCTACATTTTAAAAATATAATAGCATGGGTTAGGGAAACATGATTACATGTCTTTTATCAATAAGTGTTTAAATGAAAAGATGTTGAGACTCTAGAAAGAATACAGAGAAGAGCAACAAAGATGGTTGCTAGAATTGGGTATGTCTAGTTCAATGAGGAAAGGGAGACATGACAGCAGTGTTCCAATATTTCAGGGGCTGCCACAAAGAAGAGGGAGTCAAGCTATTCTCTAAAGTGCCTGAGGGCAGGACAAGAAGCAACGGATGGAAACTAATCAAGGAGAGAAGCAACTTAGAACTAAGGAGAAACTTCCTGACAGTTAGAACAATTAACCAGTGGAACAACCTGCCTCCAGAAGCGGTGAATGTTCCAACACTGGAAGTTTTTAAGAAGAGACTGGACAACCATTTGTCCGAAATGATATAGGGTTTCCTACCTGAGCAGGGGGTTGGACTAGATGACCTCCAAGGTACCTTTCAACATTATTATTATTACTATCATTATTATTATTATTATTATTATCATCATCATCATCTATATTTTAATATATAACTGCTCTTCCAAATTTCTAAACAATATTTGATGATAAATACCAAAACATTCAAATTAAACACTATGTTACTATGTGAGACCATGGGAGAAAGCTGTATAAGTTTGTCTTGGAACTATTCCTGACTACATATTTATCAGTCTGAACTTCACAAATATCTTGACAGATATGAAACAAAATTGTTAAAAGATATTCTGTTTTTCATTTAAACACTTACTGATAAAAGACGTGTAATCATGTTTCTTTAAACCATGCTATTATATTTTAAAAATGTAGGATAAGGAATTTTAGTCATAACTATATAATCTACTGATATCTTGAAGTTCTGCATTAATACAGAAAGGTAACACTGGCTGCCTTTAAGTATCATATCAGTCAATTTTATAAAATCTACAAAAAGATTCTGACATATTTTCTTACTCAGGAAGAAAGTGACTTTGCAAGATTTTCTAACAAAAGTGATCCAATGCATAGAGTTTGTTTCCATATCTAACCTTCTGTCCCCAACTTACCAAATTATGTGTATGGAAAAAAATATCCATTAATGGAAGAAATCTTTAAAGATATATTGCTGTGGAAATATGCATGAATGTGAGCAACAGAGTAATAAGTACAGTAAATGATATTTATGTCTAGAGAGCCTTGCCAAATTTATGAAAAATAGATCTTTGTGTTTGAAGGGAAACAGCTATATGTTCAAATCAACAAGATTTATGGATATCCTTCCTTCCTTCCTTCCTTCCTTCCTTCCTTCCTTCCTTCCTTCCTTCCATCCATCCATCCATCCATCCATCCATCCATCATTCGATTATAGGGAAATCAGGGAGGTACAATTACCATTGGATGAACCTCTTCTTACCCTTTTGTAAGAAGCAGACGAGTTGGAAAAGTGACTGAGGACCCTTCAGTGTAGAGTCCTAATTCTCATGTCAAACATTCTCTGACCAATCTGAAACTTCAGCCATTAGTATTAAAGATTGTATGCTACATAAATTGGTTCTATAAATTGTTTCTATTTCTCCATATTATGATATTCTGCTATTGATATGCATAAAACTGTAGTTGATTTATTTAGGGTTGCATTCAAATATTGACAGATGGACCACCTTTTACTAAACACAAACTTCTTGTCATCTACTATGTGATCAAAGTAAGCAAAGAAGCCTATATTTGCCTAGGAATGATGGAAGCTGGGTGACACAGAGTTTATAATAATCAGACATTATGTACAATATACTCAAACAAAAAAATAAGGGTGTGATTGAATACCTGAAAGTCAAACCTGCTGGTACAAAGAGAATAGTTTCAGTCATTAAAGTATGTTAAAATGTGTGCTTTTAACTGAAGGAATAGTGGCTTTGCACACCTACTGTGTAAATTGGAGATGGAATTTGCACAGCATCCCAGGACTGAGGCAACTAGATTTATAACCATACTTGCTCTGATATACATTTTGTGTGTGTGTGTATTATACCAACACACAGTTCAATTACTATGTCCTTTGATCTGCAATGTCATCAAAGCTACTAATGCCATTTTCTAGAGACTTGCTATACAAAGATATATAGAGGCTTGAAATTTACAAATAACTATTTTGTAGCTTTTAAATCTAACTATACACAATTGCAAATTTAATGGTCCCTTTCTAGTATCAATACAGGAACATTAATTGCACACCTAAAGCCTAAGTTTAACTTTCATTCTTTGTTACTATAACTGTTTTCCCCAAAGCTGAATCTGCAGCAGGTAGAGGGAGAAAAGCAAAGAAAACTAATAGATAGCAGGTCATTTAAAATATGACTCTACAGTGATATCTAGTGGCCCAAAGGAAACTTTCATTAGATGCTGCTGTTAATAACACCTAAATTTCTGTATACAGCAAAGATCAATAATAAAATAAAAACAAACCCCAAATATTATTTACAGTGGTCAGTTAAGTTCCTTTCACATAACAGATGTCCATTTTGGCCAAAGATAAACATATCAATATGTCAACTATTTACATTTCTTGGGAAGTGGCCAGACAAATGAAATACTTGGCTGGGAGATATATGATGAAAGACTGCAATAGAAAATCCCATATATTTAATTGCATGTTAATAAAAGTTCCATAGGTTTATGCCTGAAAACATTTGCACTAACATGAAAACACAGCCTGATCACAAATGCAAGTTCTTAGCTAAGATTTAAGGTGTACTAGTCTGTAATGCTATAACTGATGAAAGGGTTTGGCAGAAGTGATAAAATTTAAGACAAGTCTATTTTTGCTGGGGGGAAAAGAAGTTATTTTTCAATTTTCCAATTCTTTCTTTATTATCTGAAATAGCCAAAGTTCAGGATTTCTTACATGTGTATCAGATGACTTATAGGAAAAGCAATGAAAGGTTAACGGCAATGCTCAAGTCTTTTCAATACAATTAAAATAAATGGAAATCAACCAAAGGCCAGGCCTTTTAAGATAATCACAGAAAATCTGGAGGAAAAGCTAGAATGTGAAAATGGCATTAAGAAGGCTGCATTTTTGTATGCCACTTTTCCACACCTTCTTTCTCTTTCTGCTTATGGGGACAGAGGAAGAGAAACCCTGGTTCCAAATAATGAGAATATTCTCTTTGATGTTATTGTGACATTTAAAGCCTGGTTAAAATATATGAAAAATATTTCTTAACGGGCGTTTTCAATTTTTCAAGCAAAGGAAATGACCAAAATGTCCTTGTCAGTGTTACTTTTGGAAATGGCTTTTGACCACTCTCCTAGCTGACTTTGAACTAAGGCAAGACCCCAGCTATTACAACAGTAGAAAGCTGTTAGTTTAATAGATTTAAGATGTATTTGCCAGCAACTAAAGTCAGCCATATGTCAACGTTTAAAAAGCCTTTTCCATATTCTTCCATATTTTCTTCACTTACATAACACTTTTTTTTGTTTTTACTCAGGTTACTACAAGCAAATTCTTTCTAGTTATCAATGTTCCAAATTCAAAGACTTCTTTAATTCATTCTTTATATTTTTGACAATTGGAAGAGGACTTGTTGAAAGATTCTTAATAACAACCTAGAGAAGGGCAAGATCAACTATTACTAATGTCTAATTTGTGTGCGTATGAGTGTGTGGATAGAGATAAAAAGTTAATTTTAGATTTATATTATCCTCCTTCCAAGTAGTCAGGACAGTGCCTACTGCACACTCTTCCTTTTTCCCCTAGAACAAGAACTCTATGAGGTTGCTGGATTGGAAACTATTGATAAAACCTCCTAACAATTTTCCATGGATGATGATTAACTTACTTACTGAGTTCTTTTTGCTAAAACAAATAAATTTATTAAAAGCAACAAAAATAATAATTTTGAGGCTAAAGTATAGAGGATCATAGGAACAATAAATTGTATTTCAATAACATATAAAAATGAATAGAATGAGCCAATATGAATATGGAAGCAGGATAAACTACAAGAGTTGTACAGGATCACCATATAAGATGCTTTTAGTTTCACTCCCCGTTTTGGGCCATCAAATTAAATCATTACTGCCTAGTTTGAAAGTCAGAGTAATTGTTCGGTATATAAGAAACAGGTCCCTTCAATATTACCTCTAAGCTTGATTGAATATTTTAGAATTTTTGCTCATTCCTGCCCGTGAAAAGCAATTTTCTCTCTCGATAGATTCATTAATCCTCTGGCTGAAACAATATACTTGTCACTTTTATTTAAATAGTCCAGATCCTGCAACTTCTTTCAAAGAAGTCTATGGAGATACTCAGTCATCCAGGTCAATTCTTTCAAAGAAGTTTATTTTTATTTTTCCAGCTATCCGCCTTGAATAATTATTTTGTTAGTCTTAATATCAATAACCTGGGTTCTGCTTTCTTAACATAAAAAATCAGATAAATTTTTGAAATAGTTTGTATTTCATTTGCTAATTTTTCCAGTTTTATACCACAGCTGTGCTATGGTTTGAAATTGAAAAAGAAAAGGTATTTCATAGTGATTGGGGGAGGGAGGAGACCACACCAGTAAGTAGTTCCTTAAATTAAACATATCTTTTCCTGGGATTGAATGAGAGTTCAGAAAAAGGAGGAGTTTCTGTAAATCCTACCTCCACATGCTTTCCCTTTGAATTTCAATAATTTTCAATACTATTATTATAAACTTGAATAGATGTTACATCTAACACTGATGCTGTTATCAGTATTCAGTAGTATTATCACAACAAAATGCACTTAGACCACAGTGCAAGAAAGGCAGTCTTCTTATGGCCTGCTACCCCCTTTAAAAAATTCACTTTTTTAAGATTTTGAAGTTTGTGGATTTTAACTGAGAAAGGGTGCACATTTCCCCTTTAAAAATCCCAACTCTACCATCCAGAGTCATGCCCACTTTAGATCCTGGCTTCGTTCATGTTTAGACTACAGCTTTGAATAAGCTCTTGAACTGAAAGGGATGTTTTAGTTTATGGATTCTATATGCTTCTATTCTTACTTTTATATGCCATATATTATGAAATTTTCCCCATTGCTTAATTTTATTTATTTATTTGTATCCACGGTCTTTATTTTTACAAATAACTGAAGGCAGTGAACATGCCCAAACCACCTTCCTCATCCAATTTTCCTCACAATAACAACCCTGTGAAGTGAGCTGGGCTGAGAGAGGCTGACTGGCCAAAAGTCACACAGTTGGCTTTCATGGCTAAGGCAGGACTTGAACTCATGGTCTCTCACTTTTTAGCCTGGTGTGTTGGCCAGTAGACCAAACTGGTCTAATGATTTTATCCCATTGTCCTGCTCTTCCCAAGGTCACAGTGACCATGATAGCTTCCAAATAGACCACCATAATTTTTATTTTCTTATTAAAAAATGAAACTTTAGAAAGAAGAGGGAAAAGCAGACTAGTTGTAGTTACATAAATAATTTTGTGGTTGCCAGAAAACACAGTTCATGTTGACTTTTTGACGCCACTATAATATTGGAGAAACCTGGATGACCTCATCAATTCTGATCTCCAGAATTTAAAAAATAATTTCACAGCTGGAATCCTTACTTGATTGAAACAATATCCTTTATCTCCAGATATGACTTTCCATTGTCAAAATATAAAATTGTTTGCCATGTTACACATTGTTTAAAAAGAAAAAATGTTTCTTTAGATTCACAGCCATCTTTAACTAGCGAGAGAGGGAGGGAGGGAGGGAGGGAGGGAGGGAAGAAGGAAGGAAGGAAGGAAGGAAGGAAGGAAGGAAGGAAGGAAGGAAGGAAGGAAGGAAGGAAGGAAACGTAGGCCAACATTTAAGACACCATTTAAATTTAGTTAAAGGTAAATATCATCACTCCTAGATTTAACTGAGCAGCAGTTCTTTATTTTTCAGTTGGGTTTGTTTTACTATTAGACTGTATCCTATATATAATGTTAAAAATTACAAGGTTTGTTGAATAAAAATAAAATATAAAAAGATAGAAATGAAGATATTAGTGTGCCTTATTAACAGTGTGAATTTGGCTTACTCTTCAAGTGTCAGATTTCTCATTTTGTTCCTATCCTGTTCAAACCATAAACCTTATATTGAAATTTTGCAGCAAATTGCAAAATAATAACTACAATTAAAATGTGATTGCACTGGTTCAGTTCACAAGCAAGTCATAACTGCTTAAGCTTATCTCCATTGTTAGAAAACATAGTTAATGCTGCTATATAATGCATTTGAGAAATGAATGTCACGTTAATTTCTGAAGAATAAAAGAATAAACTTTTTACATGTTATATTAACAGTATAATATAGTATAGTATAATATTGTATAGTATTGTATAGTATAGGATAATATTAATAATATATCTATTCTTACATGTTATATTAGATATTATTTTCTTAGTTGCCATTATCCAAACAGTACAATTCCTTGTTTGCAGACTACATCTTTTTGTATACTCTCACATTCATACTCAGCTTAATCTTCGTTAAAGATTTAAATGGTATGAGCTAATATATACTGCTCAAAAAAATAAAGGGAACACAAACGTACAGGATCCTATACGTTTGTGTTCCCTTTATTTTTTTGAGCAGTATATTTATAAACATACTTACAATACAATGTTTATATTTCAACCTAAGTATATATTTTTTAAAAAATAGTTGATCAGCTACCCAGGTCAGCAGTATTCAAATTAACTGATTATGTTAAGTAGTCTGTCAGGTAACACTTTTCAGTTAATGCAGTTGTCTGTCCTGTGTTTGTGTGTGCATGCCTATATCTATGTCTCTGTGTGTATATGTGTATATATGTGTATGTATGTATATGTATGTGTGTGTGTATACATACATACATGCAAATATTTGGATTCAAAGGAAAAATAATTCAGAGTTCACATAAGCAAACTGGTGGCAGTTCCTTAAAGTATTTGCACATAATCCCCGAAAAAATATTTCATTTAAGTAAGTGCTAGCAGATATAATGTGCATATCCTTGTGAGCACTGGTTCACTTTTTCCCTTTTGAATCCAGATAGCTGCACAGGTAAAATATTTTTGTTTTTATGTATACTGACCAATTAAAAGTTTGAATTTAATCCATAATGGGCCTGCACTATGAGCATTAAACTAAAATATTAACTGTTTAAATATTATTAAACATTAATTGATGCATTCCAATTTTTCTATTTATTATTACATGTAGATGAACTAGAAATAAACCGGAATGTATTATGTAATATTCAAGACAATACCTATAAAGTGTTCTTCTTACCCGCTCAGTTGCTTGGGTTATATTCTCCAATTCATCAATACTCTCCATTAATATTTCTGTCCCAGGCTCTGATACTGTTCAAAACAGGGAAAGAGGAATATCAAACTAGGAGAACTGTTAGCTTTTTAAAAAGTTACTATGGATAATGTCAGTTGTTAATTCACGGAGATAGGACTTCAAAAATAAAAAATATTAGACCCCTGGTGGTACAGTGGTTAGAATGCAGTATTTCAGGCAAATTCTGCCCACAGTCTGGTGTTCGATCCTGCAGGGGCTCAAGGTTGACTCACCTTCCATCCTTCAGATTATTCGGGGCAATATGCTGACTCTGTAAGCCACTTAAATAAATAAGTCTAAATACTATTGTTATTGCTATTATGTGGGATGATGTTTTTACTTTAACCAGAGAAAAACAAAATTCCAACTAAGACAAATCCAACTCAAATTCAGCTTTCAAGCTGAAAATGTAAGATGACTTCATTGTGTAAAAAGAACTAGGAAAGTCATTTTATATAACCTTTTTTTATAAAATCCATTTATTTGAAATTAAAACCTCTATTGTCATCCTTACCAGTTTTATCCACTATACATGGTTTGCATTTTTTGTTTCTTCTCAGCACCTAGAATTTAATTATTTCCAAGCACTGATTCATAATATTTTTCTTGAACTCCTCAGGTAAAGGAGGGGTACAAAGGTAACAACTAAATAAATGAAGCAGTCCAAAAAATTACCAACAGATTCTGGTCCTTCTTGCTCAAATGTATGAGAGACAACAGATGGATCCTCTGCATTTTCTATCAAAGTATCTCCTTGCAATCTAGATGATTAAAAACAGAAACATGCACTGCTATTAGAGAGACTTTCTATATGCAAATACCATACAAATCTGAGTTTAATTATGCCTTTATCTATTCCCCTGATTCTACAGGTCTTTTGTATATTGAGTCACTTAATTGGCTTAGTTCAGGTTCTAGAGAAAATTGTGCATGTAATTGTGAAGCATGAAATCAAAGTGCCCTGCACCTTGTTATTATTCTCTTGTATGCTTTTGAATTTCTCTTAGGGATAAATCTGCCTGTAAAGTGACCTTTTAGGGAAAAATATTCTTGTATAAAAATTAAAGTCAGGAAGGGAAGAAGAAGGAGAAAAGGGATAAGAGCTGGCTGCTATTATTAGTATTCCTCACTGGCCAGTTCAAACAAATGCATATGAAATTATATTCATATTCATTAAACATTTCATTAAAGTAGATAGGCATACTTCCCAGAGGATATGGCTACTTTAATGCTCCAAGGAATGATCCTTTTTTTAAAGTTTTCCCTCACTCTAGCACCCAAACCACCATCATGTCTCCATTATTCCTGCTTGAACTTAGGATTTCTCACATCAACACTTAATATCAGAGACTAAGGGAGACGATCCAACGCCTGCCTGAAGCCCCCATCCCCTTCAGGCGGTCTGATTGTTTACTCTTTGGGACTATATAAAGCATAACATCTGTTTTACAGCTTTAAGCCTCTCCCCCTGCCTACTGCCCCAAAAGAACAAAAGTCAAAGTTAAACATTTCTATTAATGTTTATCATTGAACACATGACTGTGCAACTCTAAGCAAAAGTTGACTACCTTAATTTTCATAACCAAAAAGATAATAATTAAGCTTCTTAAGATTAAAAATATCTTATACTGGACTTAACATAAATCTAAACTTCTTTGAACTACTTTAAAACATTTCATAAAACTGAAAGCTAGGTGTATCTTAGAAATCACCTAGGCTAGTGTATATCCTGCATTACTAGTAAGTACAGCAAATCAAAATATTCAGAAACAAAAGTGAATACTTTACTTTTGAAAAATCCAGCTTTTTGCCATTTTGGTTCATCATTTGGTCTAATTTCATTAAAATTTGATTTTAGTTAATTTTCTCTTGTTTCAAATCTGATTTCGGTCATACATCAAACATTTTAGAATTGCAACTTTTGGGCCCTTAATCTTGAAAAGGACAGTTGCAGGTGCAGTTATATTCCCTCTTACATACGTTATTATATTCATTTAAAATCTTCAGATATGCCAGTCTCTAATGTACGGGGTCAGCTTTAGGCTAAGGCCAATAGTGCCAAAGCATAAGGGGACCAGAACAAAAATGGCTCATTTTCAAATTTAATGTCCTAACACATAAAGCATAAATATTTTTCTATTCATAAAACATTAAATCAGTAATCCTAAAAATACAAAACTTCACATCAACAGGAAGTGATGCCATTAATCAATATGGGATACCATATATTTTGAGCCTGAAACCACTGATATGAAATTTTAGGTATAATTTCTCTGGTAACTAAAAGTACCAATTATCTGTAGAAAAATAAGAAAAATTAAAATTATGAATATATACCATGAGATTTATTTACAGAATGAATATTATGGTATCTAAGAGTACAAACTGTACTTAAAAAAATCAAATCCATAGTACAATCTATATTTAAAAAAATTAAATCCACAGTACAATCTCTATTTTAAAAAAATCAAATGCAAAATCAAAACAAAACAAATACAATCCATTAGTTTTTGTTGTTAAACAAGATACAAAACATAGAATTCTAAAATTTCAAAATACTAAACTGAAGACACAGAAAAACAAATTTAAGACAATTTTTTATACCGAGTAAGAATAACTTTAAAATTTTGGGTGGGTGGGGTATTATCAGTATATCCACCTTAGGTCAACCAAGCAATGCTGCCAAGGGGTTTTTTCAATGCCTGAAAACAGTGATGTGTGGATGGGAAAGGACAGACTTCAGCTCAATCTTGACAAAATTAATGTCTGTAGATTTTAAGGCTTCTCAACTCTGGAGATTTTTCAACTTTAACTCTGCAAAGTAGGTTCATTTCTCCAGTCAGAGTACACAATCTAGGTGTTTTCCTGGATTCACACATAGCTCTTGCTTGAAGAGCAGTGACAGCCACAGTAGAGGGCTTTTGCATAGGTTCATCTTGGCAATCAATTCTGCTTATTCTTGGACTAGGAAGCTTGAAAAAGATGATTTATACTTTAATCACCTCCTTGTGAATTACTATAACAGAATCTACATGGGTCTGTCCTTTGAAAAGCATTCATAAGTTGCAGCTGATTCAGAATGCAGAAACACAGGATGTTTTAGCATTTCTCATTATACACATATAACAATGCTGGTCTGTGAGCTGTAGGGGCTTCCCAGTAATTTTCAGGGATTCAAGGATTTAGATATGTGCTAGGAATTATTCAACTTTAATTTTTTACAAAATATATTTTATAAACCCAAAAAGTGTTCGTTGTCGGCTAAAAACAAGCAAAAAACTTTCTACAATTTACTTTTAAATTGATTGTAGTATATAGATTTAACCTGCTTCTGCAGTAAACATATAACTCTAGATTATTTACCATGGTCTTCCAAGCAAGATCAGTATGGCCCTATTAGAGATGGCATGAGACAGATTCCATTCCATCTATTGCACTTTAAGACATCATTTTAAATATATAGACCTTTTTTCTGTGGTTGTTTATCCTTTTACAAAATGGCTAACATTATTAGAGTAGCACTAGTATATAATGCTTTAAAAATGTTAAATGTTGTACTCCTTCCCTAATATAAACAATATTATACAGATAGTCTTTATGTACAACTACAATTAAGCACCAAATTTCTGTTGCTAAGCTAGACGTTTATTAAGTGAGTTTTTCGTCTCATTTTACTAACTTTCTTGCTGTAGTTGTTAAGTGAATCACTGCAGTTGTTAAGTTAGCAACATAATAATAATAACAATAATAATAATTATAACAACAATAATAAAAATGGAAGGGACCTTGAAGGTCATCTAGTCCAACCCCCTGCTCAGGCAGGAAACCCTATAGTATACTACAATGCTTTTTTTTGTTAAAAAAAAAAAAAGGTGCCGGAACTCACATACATCATACAACCCGCCTTGCCTACCCTACAAGGTTCCATCCAAAAAAGGTGTCGGAACTCCGTTCTGGGCATTCTATGAGAAAAAAAGCCCTGGTATACCATTTCAGACAAATGGCTGTCCAGTTTCTTCTTAAAAACTTCCAGTGATGGAACATTCACCGCTTCTGGAGACAGGTTGTTCCACTGGTTAATTGTTCTGTCAGGAAGTTTCTCCTTAGTTCTAGGTTGCTTCTCTCCTTGATTAGTTTCTATCCATTGCTTCTTGTCCTGCCTTCAGGCGCTTTGGAGAATAGCCTGACTCTCTCTTCTTCGTGGCAGCCCCTGAGATATTGGAACACTGCTATCATGTCCCCCCTCGTCCTTCTCTTCATTAAACTAGACATACCCAATTCCAGCAACCGTTCCATATATGTTTTAGCCTCTAGTCCCCTAATCATCTTAGTTGCTCTTCTCTGTACTCTTTCTAGAGTCTCCTGATTAAGATTCTTTTTTACATCGTGGTGACCAAAACTGGATGCAGTATTCCAAGTGTGGCCTTATCAAGGCATTGTAAAGTGGTTATAACACTTCACATGATCTTGATTCTATCCCTCTATTAATGCAGCCTAGCACTGTGTTGGCTTTTTTGGCAGCTGCAGCACACTGCTGGTTCATATTTAAGTGATTGTCTACTACGACTTCGATATCCCTCTCACAGTTACTACTATTAAGCAAGGTACCACTTATGCTATACCTGTGCATTTGGTTTTTCTTGCCTAAATGTAGAACCTTACTTTTTTCACCATTGAATTTCATTTTGTTAAATAGCGCCCAATCTTCTGAAGTGTTGGCTATTCCTGCCAGCTTGGTGTCATCTGCAAATCTTATAAGTTCCCCATCTATCCCATCATTCAAATCATTGAAGAGCACTGGGCCCAGAACAGAGCCCTGGGGCACCCCACTACACACTTCCCTCCATGTAGATGCAATTCCATTGAGGACCACATGCTGAGTATGTCCGGTCAGTTGGCAGTTGTTTGTGTGAGCAGCTGTACAATTTGAGTGTCCTTCCAAAAATAGTTTATGTACTCTGTACTCTTTCTAGAGTCTCAACCTTCTTTTTTACATCATGGTGACCAAACATGGTTGTTAAGTGAATCTGGCTTCCCCACTGACTTTGTCAGAAGACCGCAAAAGGTGAGATCCCATGATCCCAGGAGACTGCAGTTGTTATAAATATGAGTCAGTTGCCAAGCATATGCATTTTGATCATTTGACCATAAGGATGCCACAATGATTGTAATGTGAAAAATGGTCATAAGTCACTTTTTTCAGTGTTGTTGTAACTTAGACAGGTCACTAAATGACTATTGTTAGGCGAGGACTATCTCTATACTACAAGCTTTATATATGTGTGTGTGTGTTTTCTATAGACTACTGCAATATGTTGTAACATAAGGATAATTTTGAACATCAATCAGACAGTAAGACTGGTTCAAAATGTGTGACCCACCTGCTGGTTTATACCTATCAGCAGCATGTAACACCTGCTATGAGCCACCAGTAATCACCAATACATCTCTGATTGCAATTCAAAGACGTGTAGTGTCTAGATATTCACAAAACCAGTTTCTCTAATCCAAATGCTTATCCAGACAAAGCTAGGTTCCCCACTTCCAGGATGTGAGAAAAATTAAGCATTATTTTTTGGTTAAGGCTTTCTTCTTAAAAATTAAATTGGCTCTTTCCTTGATATCATTCCATAATACGATAAAGATATTATTCTTCTGGAGGGCAAAGTGACCCTGTCTGTAACTTATCTTTGACACTGATTTCTCCCTCCCCCATCCCCTCATTTCCATTTTTATCCCACTTTTTTAAAAAAAAAATATT